CGAAACAGCACGGGAAACTACACATACAGCACTTTATTCTGAGTGCATGTTGCCCTGAATCAAAACTTACCTGAACTAGCATTTCATTGTAAAACACAGGGAGTTATCTTATCTTGAAGCAAGTATAATAGTATTATTCCGGTTCTACAATAACTGCCGTTTCTGCCCATCCGTAAGGCTTCAATGAATTCCTTGTTACCTTGACAAGGTCACGCTATGACAAGATCATAGAATTGCATTTTTGGTTTACAGTACAAAACTGTACAAAAGAATCTTTACCTTAAAAAAGGCAATCTTATGTCCATTTTTTAAATTTTTTTTAAAAAAACATTGTCTGAATTAGTAAATCAAACTTGTAAACTTTAGCAGCGATAATCTTTCTCAATGACATCAGCTCTTGTTTAAATTGGCAGAAAGTGACTTCTAAGGAAATCCTTWAATAAGTAAAGCTTTCTATAAATCTAGACCTGAGTTCTCGGYATTTACCTTACTCATTACCAAAGAGAGAAGTTCATATTAATGGTACCTTTAATTGGTGTCTTGATTTAATTCGCTAATCGGCTGTGTTTCTATAACAATTATTAACACACGTGCATGTAAAGAGAGGTGTTGATGCAAGATATAATTGTGACGTTAGACTCTAAAAAACTCGCTTTCGTTTCATATTGAAAGACAAAAAATCATAACTCAGAGTTGCACTCTAAATATCCCGTTATTTCCAAGGGAAGAAAATCCTCAAAGAAACTATAATGTGAAAGCTCTCGACAAAAATTTCTTTGTCTACCAATTACGACATTTCTTGAATTTCCGAATTCCCTTTTCTTCCGGGGAGAAACCGCCCCGTTGGAGTGTGGTGAGGGGTTGTGTGTGATCCAATCCCGCTGTTATCCAACCAAAGATAAATTAGTGAAATTAAACTCCTGCCWGAATCATGTGAAAACAAACACTTTGCCATCCGCCTTCTTCAAGTTCTCGTAAATCGATTGTACGTGTTTCTATCAGTACAGTTGTAGCTTTATTTCAGCGTGAATATTCACAAGTRAAGAAGGCACAACTCCAACGATACAAACACTTTGAAATTCCATGCACGGACCTTCACTGGAACTCATGAACTCATGATTCTACACAAACTGTATCAAGAAGGCTAAGCCTGAGCAACAGTATCAGTCCCTGTTTTCGAGGGGCGTCGTAGTTTTTCTATGTTTTAAACTTTATCCATCTTATATGATTACATATTTAACTAATGTTTTTTTTGGCTGTTTCAGTGTGTGAGGACAAAATAGGAACAGAACGATGTGTACGTTACAAGAAAATCTACGCTGGGATGGGCATAAATCTGTGTGCARGGTCCATGAAGTCTAGCTGTGCGTTAACCTGCAAACTATGTAGTAAGTATCTTAATTAAAGCACATAAGCACATGCCATTCTCTTGAGTATTATTTTCTTTTTTTAGCGGTGACGATAACGATCAATAAGGATCTAGTAATCCATATGTACAAAGGGTAGAGTTCGTGTATATTTATGTGACTGCYGGGGTAAAGATTATGTTTCTAGTGTGCCATAATTATGACTGTATTACAGTATGGATGTCGCGTGTCGATCGCGTCGTGACCGCAACAGGCTCCGTGGGTGCTTTCTTCCGGTATTATAATCGGATTATTTACAACTGAATCGTGCGAGATGTGATTGAGGAGGAACGTGCTGGGCACGTGTCGTTATGTCAGTATTTTTTCTACTCGTGCATTTCTCCATACGGTTCTTCGTATTTTACGATCTAATCTTATGGCTAGCCCCATCCTCTGTGTTTTTATACTACAAGGCACAGCGGAGCACCTTTTAAAATAGCGGGGGGAAGGGAAGGGGGAGCGTAAGAAATACTTTTTAATCTGGGGTTTAACCTCTGTTGTTCTTTATAATGGACTCAGTCAAGCTAAGGCAAAAAGATATATCATTTTTGTAAAATGTAAGGGGAGAGGGAAGGGCGTTCCTTTACTAACCTTAAAGCGTGCGAAGCCTAGATGTTGTCTAATTACGTGTTTACTGTTTTATTAACTCCGCAGAACCCCCAGCCATGTGTGAGACTAGTGAATACGGSTGTTGCTGGGACAAACAAACTCCTGCTAGAGGACCTGGTAAAGAGGGATGTCCATGTAAGTTTTTTTACCTTTGTTTCTCGAGTCTTTGCAATCTCGTACCCAGAATCCTCCAGCGCCTTCCTGCTTTGTTGTCAGCGTCCRYTSACYAAAAAGCCGAAAGAYTCTGGGCWCGARATTGGAGTYTTTGTATATCTCACYCAAGTCTAGGTTTTTCCTCATTATGTTCGGTAAATAAGATAGCAGAAGACCTGGGATTGAAAGTTACCAGAAGAAAGATATGAAATATATATAAATTTCCCCCCTTTTTTTAAATAGATTGTCAAGATAGAAAGCGCTCCTTGTGCAAAACTGTCATTTCAAGATTATTGTCCAATGGACGTGTGACAAAGAAACAAGCCTGTTCTTACGGCTGGAGCACCAGAAATTGTCCCAAGACGTGTGGAATGTGCGGTAAGTACTTCCATTCTCATACCTTCCATTCCTTACGAGTAAAGATGGTGGAGAATATAACTTTTATGAAATTTTTTTTGATTTTGTTATCTTACTTACAGCGCTTCCTGCTATGGCATATAGTAAATGTGCAGACAGCTTGTATGGATGTTGCTGGAATTATAAACCAGCTTATGGGATCAGGGGACAAGGATGTGACGGTGAGTACGTTGTCACTATTTCCATGGCAAACACACACCACCTCCAGCACATGCAACATATAGAAATAGAAGTTATACTGAATCGACTTTTAGTTCAGTTTATTTAACACCGAATCGAAATATGGCTCTACCAATTTGAATAAGTATTGTTCTGTACTGACTAGCGACTGACTAGCGACTGACTAACCTCGTGTTGAAGTAAAAACATAAAAACGTTTTCACATGTATGAGAGGCTGGTCAGTCGTTAGTCAGTGCAGAACAATACGTATTCAAATTGTAGAGCCATATTTCAATTCGGTATATACACAAAGTTTCAAACACGTAGCATTCCCTTGAGTGTCCTTTCTTTCTTTCTTTGCCGGTGATAATATAATACAATCGAAAAACATTACAACGGCAAATCATCCTTGGAATTCGAAAGTCATTTGAGTGTCTAATGTTTCACTTCCATTGTTTTTTTGCCGTAGAATGCGAAGACACCTACCCGCACGCCTGCCGGCAGTTTCATTTCTATTGCAATCAAGAAGGAATCAACGAAACCTTCATGAGACTRCACTGCCCACTRACMTGCGGTCGTTGTATTAAGGGACAGTTGATGCTCGATTATTATGGTAGGTAAAATGTCATTTTCTCTACATCCCCTTCATCATCATCACAAGTAAACGGCGTAGGCAGGGGGACCGAGGGGCCCGAGCCCCCCTCCCCCCCGGTAAATCCATTATTTCCTATCAATCTCGTATCCAGAGCCTGCGTTTTTTTCTGGCCTGCGGTGAAGAGCAAAGGCTCTGGCATAATCAATTTTTTGAGACTAGGATTTCTTGGACTTCCGGGATAAGAGCGCATGCGTTCAAAGACTTGCCAAAAACAAAAAAATATGTTCCCGATTTCTAATTTTTATTTTGTTCGCAAGTAAACACAGAACTCTGTGTTAAGGAATGATTTTCATTGATTACATTTTTCTTTCGGAAAGTTGCRCATGCGCCAAAAATGGATTATGCCAGAGCYCTCGTTCTTCACCRCAGGCCAGAAGAAAMGCAGGCTCTGGGTACGAGTATCAATACAACTACTGAAACAAGCTGAATAATATTTATTCTTTTATTTTAGTTAAAAGACACAAGATATAAATCCATTTTAGATAAGAAATGGGCAAATTATTTATTTTAATACTACATAATTGGAAGGACGTCAAGGATAGACATCAAACTGTAAAGATGAGGAGGAAGCGAAGCAGCGAAGATATAACACAGGCAACCCATGCGCAGACATCGAAAAACAGGATATATCACAGGGAACCCTGGCGCAGACAACGCAAAATAAGATAAACCACGAGCAACCCATGCGATCCAAAAGGAGCAAAACATCGATAAGCAAGACTGCAGGCACCACACAAGCAAGCCTTACCACAGGCAACCCGTATAAAAGCAAKGATAAGCAAAATAAAGCACAGGCAGCCCACAGTCAACCCATATGAAGATATAAAAAGCATAGTTTTTATTTCATCCTTATTCTTGGGCCTTTGCTGGTACAAARTGTCGAAATAAGAAAACGAGGAGAAGACGCAACGAAAGCAATTCTATTTATTTATAAAAGATTATCGATATTATATTTATGCTCAGATGGCTTAAGGTGACTGCCTACTTTTGGAAATTGATTTAAGCTTTTTTTAAAACTTCGATTTTCCGAATTGAAATTTAATGCTGATTCCAAATCTGGAAAGAAAAATAGGGTGTCCCGAGCTCGTTTTCGAGATAATCAGCATTTAATGGAAGCCTACGCACGAGCTTTTGGAGTAGAAATTGCGCCACCGGAAGTGATTAGAAAAAAATTAAGATGAATAAGATAATAGTTATTTGCAGACTATATGATTGCATGAATGAAGGCTAGTCAATCATTCTACRATAATACATGGATATTTTCGACAAAAAGACAGAGAGATACATTGATTTGTCATATTTTGTAGTTTCGGTGCTCTTAAAAAATCTCATAAAGTCGAACAAAAATCTATTTTTTCACGCGTTCCTGATTTAAACTTTTCCTAAAATGTTGATATAACTTAGATTTTTAGGAGTTTTTTCGAATGAGCTATCAAAAAATATAGAGTCCCGTGCAAAATTTGAGGGTTTTGCCCTGTTGAAGCTCAAAACGCGTATGGTTCTTCAATAAAATCTTGTAGATTTTTCAGCGGTTTTTGAGCGCGCGCTCGTCGTGGGCTCAATTCGAACGTTCAAAAGTAGGCAGCCACCTTAAATATTGCTAAAGGTGTTTAAATTTTTTTTTTTTTTTTTTTTCTGTAAATTTTTACTTTTGAAGGAGTCATTATTAAACACAATAATTAAGATGCTTTAGGACTAGCGTCAATGTGTAGTTGCTGAAAAAAAGGCTTACTATTGTAAATGCGCAAAAAAATCAATAGCCATGACAACGTTGCGTGATATATAAGCAATGTGCATTCAATTTCATTAAAGAATTATTCAAAAATAAAAAAGCAATGCTACTTTTTATTATTGTCAAGGCATCGGTAAGTAATAACAGGATGATGCATGCACGAGCCTTCTTAAACTACCCAGCCCATTATTGGACCCCCTCCCCCTTTATCAAACCTGGAAAATAACAAACAAGAAACTGTATGCAAGATAATCTTAAATGTACAGGACGGGTTGTACAAAGGCTGGATAGCGCTTTCCGACTGATAAATCTTATCCAGTGGATAAATTTAATTTTTGTTGGATATAACAGCATCGACCTATCCATTGCATAAGGATTTATCCATCGGATAGCGTACAACCTGCCCCAGAATTATCATGTCTCAAGAAAGCTCATCTAGTTCTCTTGGCACGTGCCGTGACGCAGTCTTGCAGCAGATATTGTTGTAAACTTCAGGAGTACCCTCAGCTTCTTCGATAGTCTGATGCMTGTCTTTATTGATGGTTTCTGAGATCCAAATAGTTGCGATACACCCACAGAGGGCAAATGCAGCGAAAATGATAACTGGGGTGGATTCATCGAAGCCTGGCAGGTTAGCCTGTTGATAAACAAAGACAAAAACTTTTAAGTTAAAACTTCAAATTTTATCGATACTCTGAAACAACCTCTGGTCTGAACAAAGTCATGGCTGTTTTGGCGGTACAAATAGGCTCTATCCACAGATATATCCATGATAAACTGTGTTAACTTACCATCATAGCGACATAAGGCGCAAGAACAGCCCAGCAACGACCTAGCATTGAACACCATCCATGCCCCTTGTTCCTGATAACATAACAAAAATCCAGTTATTTTCCATTCAAAGTTCAATCAGGGGCAAATTTCGGTCTCCTCTCCCCCCCCCCACACACTCTCTCTATCTTTCTCCAACCCCCTTTGCATTTATCTGAATAAATGTTCACTCGCTTTATTTACTTATACGTACACTCGCATTCATACATAGACTGTATATCAGCTGCCAGAGGCGCCTTCACATGCTTTCAGTTCGACCCCATTGGGCTGCGCCACTCCTTTCCTTTGCGCTGGTTAGCCGATGAGAGGTTTTTATTTATTTTTTATACTATATACACCTATTTCCGAAATAGTTGTCGCACCAAAAACCTCAAGCAACAAGCCCAGACCGCAGAGAACGCCGGTACTTTTAGCTGTAATTAGTTTATTCATGGTGCATTTTCATTTATTGACTTCACAAATTGCTCCAAGCAAGGCTGCTTGAGATGATAATTAGTGGAGAGCTATAGCCACTTGCATGAACCAAGAATAAATAAATTATAATTAAAAGTACCGACGTTCTACTCTGGAGCCTTGGCTTGTTACTTGAGGCTCTTGGTGYGACAACGACTTTCGAAATAGGTGTATATGAAAGCCGCAAGAATTTGATGGCCCATTTTAGAAATATTCCTGTGTTAAAATTAGGGTTACGGTCTCCCTGTGTTTCAAATGCTTATGCCCGCACGTGCGCACGTGAAGGACTTGTGTTGTTGATTAGCATATACTATCTGATTCAACACATGGAAGGCATGGCGTGACTCTTCTTGGTTTACGCCGCTCGCTCATGTGATGTTTGCGACAACTAAAAGCAACATTGTGAAAGCAAGGAACACTCCAAGGACGTAAAGATAGTTGTTCAAAGTGAGTATGAAATGATAATTATATTTTTATCGCCGTGTATGTGCTTATACCGTCCGAAACTGCRAATCGATTCAACTTGCAAGAAGAGCTCAGCAAAGCTCGATTAAAAGACCTTAAATGTTGTTAAATATTTTCGCTCTTCCTTCTGAATCAAGATATATTCTTCCTGCATATCAACACTAAACATTTCGAATATATATATAGTACTTGTTTCCATCACGAAGAGTTTCCAGTAGTGTAGTTTGCAAAAATTTAAATGGAACCTTTGCAGTTAAACGGTCACGTGTCTGTACTGGTGAGCAAAATTTTATTTTAAATTGGTGATTCTTTTTAGCTACTTGTAAAGAACTGAATGAAAACATGTGTAACCAGTGTGTTACGAAATGCAGTTTTATTACGATCT